TGTAGTACCCCCTGTTGTGTGGTAATCGTGTTAACTAGTCCCATATGATGCACAGTGCAGAACTGCTGTGAAACTTAGCAGTTTACACAGTTGCAGCTTGTAAAGATGTTGCTGTTTATTCAGGGCTCAACTCTATTCAGTTCAGTGTTAACCCTTTCAACCCAGGAATGCTAAACAATTTTTTTAAAGAGGTCATAAACCCATGGGGATGTCCAAAAAATATCCCTAAGAAATAAAAACTATTTTACACACGTAACTAATAAATCTTTTATTTATTGTATGATATTTTTAAAATTGTGGTTTAAAAATAAATAAAGAGAATAATAGATAAACAATAACAGAGTAAAGCATAAATGGAACGTATTCCCCTTGCCCTAAAACAAATATGCATTAGAGGATTATGCTGTGACCATGTGACCTCTATCACTGAGGCTTACGGAACATGTTTAGTCAACCTGGATTTTTTAAAAAGCTATTGGATTTACAAGGAAACCCCTTTAAATGCTATATTTAGTGAATGTATCAAAATCTGGACCTTCTAAATACAATGCAAATGCACATAAAACCAGTAGCAATTAAGTATGCTTTTCAAAACAGGTCACTGCAGAAATGGCAATATATATATAGGCATTTAATGGACTGTGTCACGATGGGAAGTGAGTAGACTTAGGTGCAGTCACGTTAAATATTTTCAGATATTGCTAGATATATTACCCTTGCTGTAAAATGCAATGTACCAGCTGCCCTCTTAAGGATGAGTGCAGAAGCAGAAGGTGAGTGAACAAGGAGTATACAGTGAAACAAGTGGCAAGGTAAAATCGACATCATGGACAGCAGTTTCAGAGAGCATTCAACCTGGATGAGAAACAGAAGAGTGTTGAAATCCATGAAAGCAAGTTGTGACAGTTAACCTTTCTTTATAAAGATAGTTTGTAACTGTTAGTGCTGCAACTGTGACAACTGCTTGGTTTAGAGTATTTGTTACTGCACAGACTGACACACTACAGACACTGGATAATTTAAGCCGTGCTTAATCTCATGCTTTGTTGTGTTTGTTCTGTATACCATTATATTTCCTTGTCTGGCAGTCGCATGATGCTGATTATTGTCATGCATATTGCATGCTTAACTCAGAAGCCAGCTTTAAGGAGATAATGTAAATAGGAGGAATTGGAATGCAGCACATATTGGTTCTTTGTGGAGAAGTGATTAAGCCATTTGATTCGTGCTGTGAAGGGAGTGTTTTCAGACTCCACCCTTTGGTTTACGAGTGGATGGGTTTTAAAGATCCCCATATTTCATTGCTGTGACTCTCTTGGCAGACATACAATTTCCCTATGGAGACACCAAGCCATATGGAATAGTACTTGGTTCATTTGAAGTCACTCCTTTCATCTTTAAAGCAGTTGTTTAAATGGCAATGTAAAAATAAAGTAAAGGTTGTTATTCTGCAGAGAGTATGTGTAGTATATTTAATATACTCAATGAGGATTTGCAACTGTACCTTACAAAAGAAATGCATTATTTTTTAGTCAGTGTAGCACCACTAATTAAAATGCTATAGAAAGATTCTCAGAATACCATGGACAAAGAAGAGAAAAAATACTGACATTTTAAAAGATCTGAACATCAGGAAAGATTAGCTAATAAACAGCATAAAAAGTTGATATATTTTGGTCAAATCAAACGCCAAGGCAGACTAAACAAAATAAAATAAAACAGAAGGCATGGTATCAGTAAGGAGGGACAGGGAGCTGACCAACGTGAAGATGGGCACAGGATATAAGTGACTCCTTGAATATGAAAGTACATGAGGTGGAAGAGTTGGCGAGAGACTCCAGTTTCTTTCAGGAAGACAGCGATGAGAGCGACATTCTGCAAAGGACTTGATGAGCACCACTTATATAATAATGATATCTGCATTTGCTAAAGAATGGCTGAACTAAAAGAGAATCAGAATGATTGATATTTTGTTTAGTGTAGTCATTGATGATCAGCCTGCAATTACTTGTAAAGAAATGTTAGAATTACTGTAAACAAGTTTTGCTACAACTTTTGCTATATGTAGCAAGGCTTTTCAAGGCTTATTCTTGCTGACACCATACACCAGTGTTTCCCAAACATTTCTTAGCTGCAGCGCTTTTTTTTTTCCAATTAAAATCTGTCCACGGCGCCCTAACCTTAGTAAAAGTATGACTATTCGTATGCAGGAGATTAAAAAAAAAAAAAAAAAAATCAAATATTTTGCGGTGCACAGTTTGGGAATCACTGCTATACACTATGCAGGTCAGGTTTTTTGTATTTTACATTTGATCATTAAAAACCGTTGGGCATAAAATATGTGTATTTTGTCCTGTAGAAGAAGTAATAAAATAAAAATGACTACTTTAAAAAAATAAACACAGATGACAGAAGATTTCCTTTTCATGAATAAACATTTTCTTTACATCTGTTCTGACATGGACTCATAAACAGGATAGCGCACTACAATTCTTTACTGGCCCTCCCAAAACTGATAACTTAGGACATTAAAATACTATCCACATAACTAGTATCTCTTATCTTTGAGAATATTTTTTTTACCTTCCATCTGTATGAATATTTCTAGCATGAATTATAAAATTGTATTTAAGATGTTTCTGTCTCTAAAATCTCTAGTACTGTCTTAAGACCATATAAATAATAACTCTTATATCACTAAAAATATTAACATAATTTAATTATATTATATTATATAAGTATTTCATACATTGCTTACAAATAAGGAGTCTTTTACATGTTGAATGCAACACTTACATATGCTGACTGTAATATTTTCCTTATGTATGTTGAATGCATCACTTAAAGCTGTACGTATATTGTGTAAAAATGTTGAATGCATAACTTACACATATGTAGTAAAAAGCAGTGTATGATTGCTGACTGCACCACTGACATATATATAGTATAAACAATATATGAATGCTGATTGCCATCACTTACACATGTGTACAACATCACATAAAATTGTTGAATGCATCACTTACAAAGTGTATATCATATGTCATAAGTTTATGTTATCCACAAATGTTGAGCATACCACAGTTATCCTGTTCCATCTGCAGCTTTTGTTGATTTTAGTTATTACCACAACAGCCCTGCATGAGCCTCAGCATGTTTCTTGTCTTTTTTTTTTTTTTTTTTAACTAGAATGTCTTTAAATAAAATGAGCAGATATGCGTTTTTAACATGCTGTTTCCTATATCTGTGCCATGGCCCCATACTCATGTGTGTGTGTGTGGGGGGGGGGGGGGGATAGACCCCCTCCCCCATTTTCCCCCCCCCCACCCGACAAGCATGTCCTAGGAGGTGACTGATTAGGGGTGTTTTCTTCAAAGTTGGAGAGCCAGAAAGGCGATTTGCATACACATAAACTATCTGTAAAACTTAATTTCTGTAACAAGACCAAAGTCCAGAAGTGGATGAACAACCAGAACTTTCCAGTATAGTTTACAGTTGGGGAATGATAAGAAGAAGGACTACTAGAACCTGTTGTGAACTTCTGACATAAAATCTTCCATGAAATGCACTTTCCTTAATGGCAGCTCTGCATGTACATGTCAGTGAGATATACAAGATATTTATTTGATACCCAACAAATACCATTTCATTACAGTTAATTGTGGTTGTTGGTAAAATAAAATGCGTAGTTGGAAAATATCTGGAGACCTGACACAGTGCATCCAAGAAATACATTTTTGTATATAAATTATATAAGCAATGCCTCAATACGAAGTCCTACAAATATTAGCAAGCGTAATTTTTTTTACAGCTCATGCCATGTGACATTGATGATCATGCCCATTAGCAGCCTTCTGTCTCATAGTGTGAAAGTAAAGCAAAGGAACTTTGTGCACCCCTTCAGGCATATATAGCTAGACCTGTATCGTATAGACCAGCACTTGATGGGTGATGTGGTCAGCATCACAGCGGCCACCTTTATCTCCCAGGACTTTACCTGGTACCCATTTAAGGCTAGGTTGACTTGGGAGCCAAAATAATTTTATTTTTAAAATGTCCTGCTTTGCTTGGATTTGAACCTGTGACGTTCAGATCTGCAGGCAAGTGTTTAGCTGCTACACCATGATGGCTTCCTCTGTCTCATATACAGCCAGTAATTTTAAATATTGTGTTCTTCCATGCCATAACGCATGTTTAACATCCTCTCTCTCTTGGTTTCCCCCTTCATTTTTTTTTGTTAATTTTTCTTTCCTTATGACTTACACACAGAAAAATTGGGGTGTTTGTTATAAAGTATGAGTTATTTTATTATAAAGCCTGCAGTAGACTGACATAAAATATTATCAGTAAATAAATTCAAAGACTGATGGTAGTCACTGTTGATTATTCCTATTAAATTGGATGTGTTTCTGTCTTCCCCCAAAGTCTGTTCCATTAAGTTTTTAAACAATACGAGCAGCCAGAAAAAACTGGGTGCTGGTTCTGCGAACTTCCTGTAAAGGGTACACAGTTAACCTTTCTTCTTGCCATTGGCATCTGCTGCAAAACCATTTGAGGCAGAAATAGTTGAGATCAGCATTACATATTTTGCACTGAAAACCTGAATTTTTTTCTCTCACAATTAATTCTACTAGAAGTGCATAAATTTCTATTCCTTTTGAAATAAAAGGCAAGCATATTAACATAGACTAAATACCATTTGGGTGTAAATGATTTTAAATTTCACACCATGTACACTTTGTGTTATTTATTTTGAATGATTATATAATTTTTGCAGAAATAAATAAAATAGTTTGAATTCAAAATTTAAAAAGAAAAGGTGATCAGAATAAAACAGTGGATACTGTATATCCCTAATCTAAATCCAGAGAAGTGAAACAAGATACTGATGGCATGAAAATTATTACTGCAACATCCTTCTTGACACCTCTATAGCCTGATACAACTAATGTAGTTTTGTGTTGCTTAAGTATAGTCTTATTTGAATTCTGTTTGATTAGAGGCTTGTGGAGAATGAGGAGCCACCTGGTGGACACTATGGGGGTGTTAATGAATCTGCTGTGTCTGTTGGATCTGAAGTTGAAGTAACTGGAGAGCCGAGTCAACAGGAACCTGTGACTGGGGATAGCTTTGCATCTTTAAAGAGAAGGCCATGGATGTCCGTACTGTTCCTGATAATGAGGCAGAGCTATGTGCTGTCATTGATAGCCATGATGGTGAGTCGTTTAAGTTTGTTGTCATATCATCTTGTGAAACTCCCTGTGCAGGTTCTGGACCTCCATTATGGGGAAAGTAAGAATACGCCCACTGCCTTCCTGAAAAGCATGTTATAAAATATGACTAAATAGGGGTTTTCCCTCCAAAGTTGCACCGTATTTACCTGAGAGGCAAAGATCCAACAGTCTGCATACAAATAAGCCAGATCATAAAGTTCAAAGTCCATAGCAGGACTTTATGTCTGAAAGTGGAAGGACAGCCAAAACTTTCTGCCACACTGTACAGCCAGTGAATGTGAAGAAGAAGAAGAGATCTTTTGAGACAAAAACAGCTTACACAAAAGATCTGAAACGAAATAAACCATGAGGCAGACAAATAATCATGTGAACAGATAGTATAAACGCAGATCTACACATACTTGGAGTAATCAAACTATAATAAGGACTTGTTTCAATTTGTTTTGCTATCATCTTGTTAGACAAAACTGCTTACACAAAATAGCTAAATTTGTGTAGACCATGAGACAGACCAGAAGGAGGGTGGAGAGGTAATAAACAGACAGATCTATGAGACTGCTTCAGAATTTTCCTGAGTAGTCAATTCATGTTTGAATTAATAATTATCACATGTTGATTACAGTCTTGTAAGTTGATAGTGACCTTGATGAAATGACATGGAAGACGTGACCCTCACATTTGTTCAGGAACAGAAGTTATAAAAGTTTGTGTCTTGTGCACATAGTATCTTCAGAGTTGAAAATGCCTTGGTTGAATAATGTACTGATGTCACTAATGTGTTTTCCTAATCAGAGACAGTAAGTTTGCTTAATGAAGCATATGGTTAAATCGTTTTTGAGTGGCACAAGTGTTTCTGCACAATAAACAAATTCTAGGAAACCGTGATTGTAGCTGACTCACAGAGCATGTTGAGAAAGGTGAAAACAGAATTGCTTCGTGCAGAGTGGCAAGCATCACTTCAGAGGTCACAGGTGGTTAGCATCCTTTGGATATTTTCTCCAGGTTATGCCGTTGTGATGGGAAATGAGCAGGCAGATAGACTGGCTGGCTCTGCACCACTTGGTGTTGAATTGATGTAGGGCAAGTAAGATATTGTGAGGGCCCTTTGGGAGTGAGTGAACAGTGGAGAATGGCGCTGTGAGGAGTTATCAGGGGATCTGGCCGACGCTCAACGCTCAGGGAAAGGATGAGATGGATATACAACCAGATGGTTACTGGTACTGTCGGAATTGTTGCTGAAGTTGGCGACTGAACACTTATGGGGGTGTCCTGAGTGCTGTGATGTTGATTCTTAATTCAACTGACTAACTAGGAAACTTTTGAAGCTGCCTCATGCAAAAACTCGGAGTTGCCAACTGGAAAGGAAGCCTTATAATTGTAGCCACTCGACTGTTCCTCATAATTGATCTGTATAATTAATTTTTTTTTTTCCTCTGTGAGTTCTGGAGTCCTGTTGTGGGGGTAGGGTGGAGGGTTTGAAGTCCACTACCTCCTAACAAGCATGTCATAGTTAGTCTTTCCTCTTGTGTCGAGTGCGGCACATAGGGCAGAGGTCATGACTCTCCATGCATGGCGGTTCGTTGCAATCTGTTGTAGGTCTTGGATGTTTGAGTGGCCCATGAGCGAGCCTTCCCTGATGATAGTTCTGCGTAGAGTTTCCCTTGGTCTTCCACGAGATCTTTTCCCCTGTGGTGTCCAAATGAGGGCTTGGTAAGGAAGTCTTGATTTATCCATTCTAAGGGCGTGGCCGACATAGTTCCAGCGGCGTTTTCGTATAAAATTAGACACAAACTCTTGCCAAGCATGTCATGTCATATAGCGTCGACTAATTAGGGATGTTTCTATTGAGGTCGGAGTGCATTTGCCTGAGAGCCTAGGAACCAACAGTATAAATAGAAATAAGCCACATCTGTAAAACAGATGTGCACACAAACCTCAGGTTCTGGTACAAGATCAGAGTCCAAAAGTGTTTGAACAACCTGAACTTTCTGCTGGAGTTTAAAGCCGGTGAATCATGAAAACAAATAAGAGAATGTTTACTCCTAAAATAATTTCTTTCTCTAATGTCACAATTACAACTGATTATCCATTTTCTTCTTCAACAGGCTTGGAGCATTACTTACCACTCGTGGCTGACTTTCACATTCCTCCTGGCTGCCTGTATTTTATGGATGCTGCCTAATTCACGACAATGGTGCCTGCGAACATCCCCAGTTATTCTCATTTATGCAGAACTTCTTTTGCTGGGCCAGTACATTTTTGGCATGAATCTGGACAGCGAGCTTCCAAAGATGGCGGGCAACTATAAACTGGATGAGATAGGTCTGAAAAGGTTTACGGATCCGTGCCTGAACTTGGCCCTACAGGTCTGTAGTAGTTTTTATATTGTATTATTGTCATTAAGCCATCAAGCCAAAATAGGAGCTTTTTAGCTGAAATACTATAGAAAGATTCCTTTGCAGAACATCACAGTCTGCCTGAAAGAAACTCCGTCTCTCGCCAGTTCTCCCGCCTCATGAACTTTCACACTCAAGGAGTCACTTATATCCTGTGCCCATCTTTGTGTCGGTTGGCCCCTGCCCCTCCTTACTAGTACCATGCCTTCTGCTATAATTTTTTCCAATCCGTCGTGGCGCTTGATATGACCAAAATATTTCAGCTTTCGAGAAATGAGGCTGTTTATTAGCCAATCTTCCTCCATGTTCAGATCTTTTAAGATGTCAATATTTTTCATCTTCTTTATCCAAGATATTCTGAGAATCTTTCTATAGCATTTCAGCTCAAAAGCCTTATTCTCTTTCTTAAGGACTGGGAACTATTTGTTACAGTTAATGCATAATTCATGTAAAAAACCAAAATAAATTTATAAGCTAAAATATCCAATACTGAAATAGAAAAAAAAAAATCTTTCCACATTCCAGTTATAAACCAGATGGTTTGGTCAGAATATCATTATATACATGACTACATCAAGACAAAGTGAACAGTGGATAATTAGGGGAAGCCGCATGGAAACAGACCGTAGTACATTTGGATTCAAGATGTGATAGAAGATAGCATGTGACGGCAACAGAGGCAGGACATCTAGCTTATGATAAAGAGAAATGTCATAAAACTGTTATCAGAGAACATTTCTGTATAGAATAACCTCCTGGATAAGGGTTAACATACACTGACTGCCAAGATCGCAGATTATGCGATCAGCCTAAATTTTCACCTGGCTATCATGAATGCGCCCCCTGCGATCGTAACTTTGGATGATCACTACCATGTTAGAATTGCGACTTTTCCAATAAATGTCATTGAAACTAGTTCATTCATTTCTGTTATGGTTCTTTAAGAGAAACTGTTCGGTAGTGTTTAAAGTAAATTTTCCAAAAATTTATTTGGCAATCTCCTATGTCGATGGTGCATAAACACACGTTTTGATAATGGCGGCTGATTGTTAGGACAGGCATGGTGGAAGAGTTCGTGGAATCCCCAAAAATGTCAAGCACTTATATTTTGTGTTACACAATGTTTATTCTACTTAGGCATTCTTCACCCTGTTCATTGTTCTGACGATGCGTCAGTATCTTGGAGAACGCAGTATTTCTGCTTCCGGTACAACAGACATTAAGATGCAAACTCGGGCAAGAAAGATATCATTCCTGGACAGACTGCGTAAGTAATTCTTGTGAAATTGATTTGTTTTTGTATTCTCTTTTGCAGGGCAACTTTCATTCTGAATGTGGTCATCTTTAATGGTATTTCAGTTTATATTTACCATGTCACTGTAGCCTTTTTTTTAAAAAAAAATGAGTAATATATTTTTCTGTAAGAATATGTTATTCATTAGTGTGTAATATTAGTTTTATTCATAAGTTTCATGAATGACATTTTCATTTAATGGGATTTTATTTATATTTGTATTGCAGAAATAACTTTCATTTATTAATATAAAACCTATACCTGTTATTAAAATGGAGATATTATTACAAAGGACTTTTATTAATAAATAAATATTTTTGCCAGGGACTTCTGTTTATGGAATATAATAATGCAAAAAACCCATTTGGATTATGAGGAGATAGCAGCAGTAATTTTTTTTTAAATTAAAATTATAATTAATTACAACTCCAGTATATTCCTATATTTGTTTACAGTATAATGGTGATTGTAATTTTTAAAAAATGTTTATACAGAATATCAGATTTTAGTGACTGAAAGTTATATCTGCATACATTTGTCTGCTCTGTATTTTTAAAAATATCTCTCATGTGGTGTTTATCTTTCAAATAAAAAAAAAATGATCATTGATAGCTGCCACACTTCTGCCTTTGAAATATTTTTTTTTAAATTGAACTTTCTGCACCTTTTGGACTTTTCTGTTGTGAGCTTTAAATGTCCGGACATTCACAATTATCAGCTTTTAGTTGCAGCCACACTACACATTTTACTAAGTGAAGGCTTTTTGTGCTTTTCATGTGTCCTGATATTTATGGAATTTTGTTCTTCTTAACCATTATCTGTTTGGGGTCTCCATGGCAGAGTGGTTAAGCTGTTTACCTCAAGCTGAAAAAGTTTTGGGATTGTTTCATGGGCCGACCCCATTGATATGTTCATCACTGGTTTTTATGTAGGTTCCTGTAAATAATCACTGGAGTTGTGCCGTATGTCCCTCTCTCAATTGACAGCTAGGCAATCTGTCGAGAAAGAGTTGTGGACAGTGCAGTGAAGTTATCCTCTCATTTGTAAACCTTTAACCCTTTGACTGTGTCTACACATTAATGGGATATGCATTTGTTGTTTGTATTTGTTATGTGGGATAACTTTCATTTTCTTTCTGGACGGTTATGAAAACAACTGTCATTATCATGTTTGTTGACATTTGTGGGAATACATTACAATTTACTTCTGTCTTTCATTTTTGGGATAATATTGTATACAGCTTTTGTTTCTTGATCAGCATTGTCTTGTTTCCTGAATGCAGTTAACTTGTTTCTTAATATTTATAATGTTCTTGTTTACTTTCTTGTCTTTTGACATTTGCGGGAAAAACTTCATGCTCTTATTTTGTCACATTTGTGGAATACTGAGTAAATCAGTTTCTCAGTTCTTGTCATTAATTTAAATTTTATTATATCTTTTATTTGTTCTTTCTTATTTATTGACATTATAGGCTATATGTTATTTTGTTTTAGAGTTTTGAGATGTATTGTTATACTTTGTTTTCATGTTACTTGTTGTCCGTATCAACATCCTAGCACATTGGTCCGATCCACATGTGACCTGTCCTATGATGCAGCAGCCTTATGTAAGGAAGGTGTTAATAAATTGTGTTTTCACAAATTGTTACCTTAAATATTCCCACTTTATGCTACCAGAGCCAGTCAAGAAGGTATGAAAAAAATTGTGTTTTCACAAATTGTTACTTTAAGTATTCCTGCTTGTGATGTCTGTGCCAAAAATGAACAGTGAGTACAACACAGGAACAGAAGATAATTTACTGTAACCAAATGTCACCAACACATGAAGGGACAAAGTAAATAATACAGCATTAGAGAGAAAGTTGGAACAAGACTGTGTCTGTCTTACATTGGCAGAGAATGAAGTGGTTTGGTCTTCTGAGATAAGTAATAAGGACATCACAGGAACAGAAAACTACGGTAACTGAAAGTCACCAGTAACACGAGAAGGGACAGGGTCATAAATACAGCATTAGAGAGAAAGTTGGAACAAGATTGCGCCTAACTTATATTGGCAGAGAATGAAATGGTTTGGTCTTTTAAGATGAGTAATAAGGACATCACAGGAACAGAAAACTACTGTAACTGAAAGTCACCAGTAACACGAGAAGGGACAGGGTCATAAATACAGCATTAGAGAGAATGTTGTAACAACCATGCCTGACTTGCATTGACAGACAGAGCATGAAGTGGTTTGGCCATCTAATACAAATGTAGCCTGACCAAGCTGGCCTTCAAAAGCAGAAAGAGAGAAGAAGATTGAAAAAGAGTTGGATATATGGCGTAGCTGTATCCTGCAAAATATATAAATATTTTTTTTTTTAGTTATGAAGGACGCTGTTTTAATACTTGACAGTCATACTATATCCTTTTTATTACTATTATTATTATTTTAATATTATTATAGTTGCTATTATTCTTATATAATTGTTATTAATAATATTAGTGTCATAAATGTTATGCATTTAATATTTTATTGTTGTTGTGGAGTGATGAGCGGTGGATATTCTGATCTTTATTTAAATCTGCATACTCCAGCACAAGACCATCGTAGGTACATTTTTAAAAAATTGTTTTTAAATGTGACACACTTGACTGTTGGAGTCATTGCTTTTCTTTGTCAACAGTTCCAGCAGACGTACATTTTGAAGGTAAACTAAAAGCCTGGTTCTGTAGCACATTCTGAGGTTACCACTAATCTTTTGTTTGCCCGACAGAGAATTTGATGAGCTAAACTTCAGCTCACCCCATGCTTGATCTTTCTTTGTAACAACATCGTTTTTTTCTCTGGCTGATTTGTATAACATGGAAGCTTTCTTCTTTTTTTTTTCCCCCACCAGAAAGAAAAACCCTTTTGTTTCAGTAGCTTTCTGTTATTTTGTTAGTTGAAGTTAAATAGTTGCTGTTTGTTTCCTTCAGTAGTTGCACGGAATTTAGTTATATTGTTAATTTGTTTTTTGAAAGTCATCAGTCACCTTTATTGACTGCATATGTCAGTTTTTTTTTACGGTCCGTGTGGATAATTTATTTGCTTGACAAGAGAGACATTTTGAGCTTAGAGATTTAAATACCAGTCATAGATGCATTTTAGGAGCTGATTGAAAAATATACAAGGCTATTTCCTTTTCATCCATATTTGATTCAGTGTGATTATTTATAAATAAATGAAAATTTTTTTTTTCTATCTGTTAGTTTTTGCCAACCTTTATAATAAATAGTCATAATCATTTAATCATTACTTATCTTTTCTGTTTATATTATTTTGTGGGATTTCTCTCAGTTCTAGGGAAAATATATCTCAGATGGGCTATTTTCCATGTCACATAAAAGATTATTTGGAATATTATTGGGTTTTAACTGTAGGGAAAATGTATTTATTTATACTGAGTTGTGTTTTCCGAGTTATGGAGAAGTTTATTTTTAATTAGCTTTTCTCACTTAAGTAGAACACATTTATTTTATGATGTTTTCTCAGTTTCAAAGCAGTTTTATTTTATATTTACGTAATTTTTTCAGTTATGACAGAAGTGAGGTTCTCAGTTAATTATACATTATTTATAGAAAAAATGTATTCGGACTTGGTTTTATTTTCTCAGTTACAGGACAGTGTTCTTTGACTTGAATTGTGTGAAATGCATAATGTAGCAATTACCTCGTAGTAACACTCTTCCAGAAATGTGTGGTCTGGCCTCTTACATTATTTGTTCATGTGATGCATTATGTAGCTCAATAAGTGGAGATTTAATAGGCAAATTCAAAGTTTAAATTAGAACTAAAGTGGCTTTAATTTGTAAGGCAATAACTCACAGCTTAGAAGAAAAAAATGCTCCTAAAATAATTTTTCCTCGAGTAAAAGATAACCTGCTATTAACCTTCAGCTTGTTAATGTTTTTTTTAAACTTGATAGGATACTAAATTTTACTTACATGATTATTTTTTGTTATTATAGTTCATAAGGCTAAATGTTATCTAATCTAAGTAGGAGCCATTGCAAATGTGTCTTGATTCATCTGTCACAAGTAATGAAGACCATTCCTTTAATCCGCTAAGTGGACTAACATTTAGGAGCATATGAGTGACTAATAAGGCCTCTTTCCACTGAATGTCCTTGCACAGTGTGGAGTTTGGTCACATTAGTTTGGGGGATTTAGTTCACAGTCTTTTCCTATTGGGCTTTTTTTTTAAAAACTGCTGTTAACTACCTCATGCTTAGGGATCCGTGTTAGTACAGTCGATAGGAGACTCGCTTTCAAATTCAGCTGTGACTCGCTGCAGCCCACGGCCGGTGTTTGAAACTGGATGATTCCCGGGGTTCACCCAGTCTCTAGGATATGGGTATCAGAGTTAACACTCCTGGGTAAATTGAGGAACACCGCTGTAGCTTTGGAGTTTCCTGTGGACGGCGACACAGGCGGACAGTTTCTTTTCAGCTGTCCGTACTGGTGGCAGAGCACTTATGGTTTATAACTCTGTGCAATGACGCTGGTTCATATCTCCTGACTTTACCCCATGTGATGCCGCTCCCTAATAAAGTGATGAGTGAGTGGATGAATGGTTCTGACTTTACCTCATGTGATGCCGCTCCAAAATAAAGAGATGAGTGAGTGGATGAATGGTTCTGACTTTACCTCATGTGATGCCGCTCCCCAATAAAGAGATGAGTGAGTGGATGAATTTGGAAACTGAGTTTTAAGTGAAAAAACAGTTGCACAGTTTGTTGACTTTAGTCTGTCACTTGAATCCATCTGAGGCTAGTGGCAAAATAAATCAAGATGTTTATAAAATTCTTCTTCTTCTTCTTCACGTTCACCAGCTGTACACTCTGGCGGAAAGTTCTGGTTGTTCGTCCACTACTGAACTGCAGTCCTGCTCCAGAACCTGAGTGTTGCGTGTGCATCAGTTTTACAGATCTCTTTCTCTTGAATACAGACTGTT